TACATGTTCATGTTGCACTGACAGTAAAATTACAATTTGCCAGCCAGCGATGCTTTCTACCAGAGGTAAAGTGTTTCAGGATGGATTTTCTGCCTTCTTGTGCCTTCTTCATCAGACTGTTCCGGTCAGCAATCTTTCAGTCATAATCCCTGTTGCTTTTACAGCCCAGGGAGGAGCTGCACTCTCATCTCCTTGCTACTGTTGCTAACATTGGCTTTAATCTGTGTAGATAACACACTTTTTTATCAGTCACATTGAGGCTCATTTTTATCTGCAGTTGCCTTGCTTTGATAACAGGGCCTGAACATTCATGCAAATACAGAGCCAAGCCGGCTCTCTGATCAGCACACTGTGAATTATTATTATTATTTTTTTCAAAGGGTCATGTACATTATCCTGTGGAGGTGGAATTTTTAGCACACATGCTTGGCGCTTACCCTCAGTAGAAGCGGTATGTCAGATGGATGTGGTCACAGACACTTGGGAATTGGTGTTTTTTTGTTTTGTTTTGTTTTTTTTCTGTTTTTTTGTTTTTGCTCCTGGGATCTTGGTCAGGCTTTGCAGGATGGATGGATGTTGCACTGAACCGCTGCCAGCCGTGTTGTTATAACAGTTGTTATAACAGGGATTAAACCTGCAACTTTCCTGTTGTGCTAAATAAAGACCTAATGAAATCTAGGCAGTGTAATCGCTTTCATTTCCAAGGCTTTATGTATCAGGACATTAGCATGTTCTTAAATGAACACCAGCACATGATATATTACACTGTGTCATCATTTATATAACAAAAATTAAGCCAAAATGCAGAAGCAGTGTGTGAAAAGCTGAGTATCCTACGTGATTCAGTGGAGTCACCTTTAGCGGCAGTAAGTTGAAGTGTTTGTTTTCTGTGTGTCCCACATGATTGTGGAGGAATCTTCAGCCCGTTGGTCTTTACAATGGTCATTTCAATCAGGTTGAGGTCTGGACTTTGGCTGGGCCATTGCAACACATTGATTCTTTTCTTTTTCGGTCATCATGCTGTAGATTTGCTGCTCTGCTTGAGATCGTTGTCTTGTTGGTGATCCAGTTTGAGCCAAGCTTCAGCTGTTGCACCGATGGTCTCACATTTCACTCTAGAATACTTTGGTGTACAGAGGAGTTCATGGTTGACTCAAATCATCAGCCCTCCATCATCAGTTGTTATGAGGTGCTGATAGGCTGTGTTGGGTTTTTGAAAAATGTGGCACTTTAGAGTCGGAGAAGTTGAACTTGTTTTTTTTTGTTTTTGTTTTGGAGGGTCTAACGTTGAGGTGAATGCGCTGCATCATCCACTCCTGGGAAAATATCATCAACATTTTACATGTTTAGTCTTTCTCAGTGTGGGATGATGGATTCCAGATTGTTTGGAAATGGCCTTATAACCTTTTCCAGGCTAACGGGCAGCAGTAGTTGCTCCTCTGAGATCATTACTCATGTATTAAAGACACAGCTGAATGCTTCAGACCAGCAAACTGCCAGAACCTCTGCTTTCATAGAGGTGCTCACACTTTCTAAAGATCCATTAATGGGGTTCATTTGATTACCAGCACCTGGCTGCTACTTACCCGCTTAGACGTATGACAGAAGCAGCATGGGTCTATTTAGTTTTTCATACACTGCTTCTCAATTTTGGCTTAGTCTTATTAAACAAATAGTGATGAGAGGTTTCATGAGGTCAGATTAACTATGGGAAAACCCTATGAGCCAAAACCTCAGGCTTCACATTGCCCATAATAGTAAGTTCTAGACAATATTTTGTACTCTGTGCTCTGTATGATGTCAGCAAAAGTGGAAATCCCTAATCGATCATCTCAGGGACACATCCACCCATCTGCTCTTAAAATGTTCAGTTTAGCAGAGGCAGGCACTCACCTGAAAGTCGGCTTAAAGGGAACAGGAAGAGAGCGCTAAAACGGCTAGTTTCATACAGTTGATAAGCTGGCTGAACCTGTGAGACAAATTGTTTTACTGTGAATTCGATTCAGCTTTATTTCTATAGCACCAATTCACAACAACAGCCACATCAAGGGAGTTTATATTGTAAGGTAGAGACCTGACAATAATACAGAGAGTACCCCAACAAACAAATAACCCCCTTTGAGCAAGCACTTGGTGACAGTGGGAAGGAAAAACTCCCTTTTAACAGGAAGAAACCTCCGGCAGAATAAGGCTAAGGAAGGAGCAGCCATCCGCTTTGACTGGTTGGGTATGAGGGAAGGGGGACAGGGCTGTGAATCATGCAAAGCTACCCTAGTAGAGTACAGAATACAAATACTGAATCACAGATTGCCAAACACAGGTCCCTTTTAAAGCCTCCTACATTCCTAAACACTTACTACCAGTTGTTTTACTTGAAGGCAGCATGATCTCATTTTGGTCCACGTCATGCTGACATCATCTGCTGCTCTTACGAATCTCTTATTCAAAGCTGGATGTAACCCAATGCTGTTAGTTTACAACCCAGCCTCAGTCAGCTAGTTTTCAAATACGTGCAGCACGTGGCAGTTTACGTGCTCGAACTGGCTCAGGTAGGTGAACGGTTCACTGCTTATGTGGTAAACTCAGGTTTCTGGTTATATTTGATTATGTTTTCACTCAAGACATTAAAACCACAGAACAAAGTCACCTGTGTTTTCAGCAGACCACACTCTGTGACACGTGGAGGTGAGAAATAACCTGTCCAACCAGTCTGTGCTGGTCATCCCTGCGCTGCTGTTGTGGCAACAATATCAATATAGCTTTGGATGATATATGCTCACTTTATATGCAATATTGGGTTTTTGGGGGGGTGGGTGATATGGGTGTGACACCGTCAGAAGTTGATGCCATTGTGCCATTGTTTTCGGCCTGCCATTTCTCACACACACACACAAAGGGAGAAAAGACCTGATCATGTGTCGGTATAACAGGTCTCGCAGGGTTTGATGGATTTAATGTGTTGAGGAGACAGAGAGAGAGAAAAATGAGGAAATGAAAGATGAATGGAACTAGAGAAGAAGATCAGCCCTAGCTGGGAGGAAGCGCATTGAAAAAAGTTTGAAACGAAAGATGGTAAAAGAATAGGAGGCAATACTTCCAGTGGGATTTGAGTTGTCTCTAATCCTGCCCGTGACATTTACTGCATCACATACTGCATTATAGGTAGGGTTAGATGACATGAGTTTGTGTTTGCCGGACATTGGCACGTAGCACTGTAAAGGCTAAATGAATGACTCATGATAATAACAGATTGTGAAATTTCCAGGATTACATGTCAGCCTCCTGAAATCGCTTAGTCAGAGAGTCAAAATATCCGGCGTTATCTTTGAAAGCCTTTTGGTGA